CCCCCCCCCCCCCCCCCCCCCCGAACTCCCAGGGGGGGTCTAGACTGGGGGCTCAGGCAATTCCCATCCCCGCATCAAGCATCCCTCTGCTCCCCGGGGTAAAAGGAAGAAAAAGCCTGGGCCAAGTCGCTGCAGCGCTGAGCATTAGGCAGCTCTTCCCCCCCTAGTCCCTGCCCTGTGGGAGGACGCCCATCCTTAGCCATCATGCTTGTCCTTGTGCAGGGATGGGAGGGTGCTGGGGTTGGGGGAAAAGGGGTGCAGAGGGGGTGGTTTGGCTTCTAACACTGGCACTTTGTATTCATGAGTAAATATTTGCTAATGGCAGCACAGCCGGGCGAATGTAAGGGAGCTGCTCCCCCCGCCGGAGCAGGCAGGGAAATGAATATGAATTTATCATGATTAGGTGAACCCAGCAGGGAGAGCGGGAGAGAGAGGGCTAGGCAGGGAGGGGGTGGGCGAAGATGGATCTGTGCAATAAAATTAAATAAGGACACCAAGTAGAGTCACTTCTCACGCGCCCGCCCCCCGCCCGCCCTCCCGCGTGTGGGGCCTCTCCTGCCTCCTGCGCTCCTCTGGCTTTGCTGATTTCTCTCTTTCCTTAAATTTATGAGGCCAATTATGAAGATGAGGTTGGAAGTTCTCAGAAGTTCACTAAATGCAAAGTGCGGTCCCTGCTGTTCCCATCAAATTAATTAACCAAGCGCTATTGATGGCCGGGGCGACGTCGGCGTGACGTGGAGCACGAGGGAAGGGCTGCTGGGATGCAGGCGGGGGGGGTCTGGCAGGGGGGCAGAGCTCCCTGCAGGGCATCCCCAGGGCCGGGGGATGCAGAGCAAGAGCCCTGCCTGGGCAGCTGGTGGGCAGCAGGAGCGAGGGATGCAGCGGGGGATGCACCATGTCCCGGTGTCAATGCTCAGCATCACAGTCTCTGTTTCCAGCACCAGTAGTCTCTGGCTGGAGGAAGATCCACCCGGGTGATGGCAGGGCTGCCCTGATGAGAAGGTGGCATGGATATGTGGCAGGATGCCGTGCCATGTCCCGTGGTGGAGGCCACAGCAGGGGCTGGTGGTCAGCATGAGCCTGTGCTAGGAGGAGCAAAGCCTTGAGCCGGTGCCCTCTTGGGCACCCCAGGATAGTCCCCCCAGCTGGGCGGGGGGCAGTGCTGACCATGATATCCCATGGGGGTGGTCTGCACAGGGCCTCATGCTTAGTAAACAAGTGACTTTACCTATGGCTTAGCAGGGATGGTGCTCCCAGGACAGGCCCACTGCTACCTTCCCCTGCTCCCCAAGTCCCAGCAGCCCGCCCCACCTCAGTTTCCCTACCTGCGCTATGGGAAACAACCTGCCTGTGACTTGCAGGTAAGATCTCATGAGCTGAGTGCCCCGATCCGACACAGCCCCTTGACCATCCCTAACCTTTGGATGAAGCAGCCTGGCTCTGTGCGGGGCTCAGGGAGAGGGTGGGCGGCTTCACGGTGGGGGCAGCAACCACGTGCCTAGAGCACACCAGCTCTTATGGGGCAGCGCCTGTGCCTGATGTAGCCATGTCGTGTGTCCCCCTCCTGGGGTGGGGGTCTAACATGACTCCCATGTCTGCCCTGTCCCATGGTGCTGAGATGCCTCCTTCATGCTCACTGCATGTGTGGGCGGCTGGGATGCTGCTGCAAAGCTGCTGCAGCGTGGGGGATGTGTGTCCCCAGACTGCTCAGGTTCATCTCAGACACTGGGCAAATGGCCCTT